ATTTGGGATTTAGACATTTTGACGAGGGACTATTTGGGCCTGTGCCGAAGACTTGCTGTTGACGACATTCCCATCTTCCCCTCCTCTTCGTCTAACCCCCTTCTTCTTCGTCTGTGTATGGTTGGGGCTGGCGCAGTCTTCCTGTGTGAAGCGCCAGACCCCTTGCACACCATGGAACGATGATGATGATGTATGCTCAGGGCTGCATTGCAATATTGATTGTTCGGATCATTGATATCTAAGTCTTCCGCTACGCTATCTTGTACTTTGTATTGAGAGGTCGGTTCTTGTTCTGGTCTGCACCGTTACAGTATGCAACAAACAAGGACTTTTGTGGACGCGCGGTTTCCATTGTCGAACCAGTAAACCCTGTTGGAGTGGGTAAAATGTGAACTTCAGCAAAATTCCAGTTCTACCCTTAGGGTTTGAGCTGAGTTTCACCGTTGCCCCTGTCTGAACTGCCTGCCCTCGCCGTTTAAAACAATTCCCGCCCTGCACCCGAGTGTGGAAAACCAGATGGTTACAGGTATTACTTATGCCCTTGTTTGTCTCTTGTTTCGCCTCTTTATCTCGGTGTTAACAAGTCCCTCTTTCATTATGATTGATGATTGGCCAAGTGTGTTCTTATCATTTTACTTTTATTTCTTTTCCACCTTTTTTCGGGTACCCAGAAAAGGGTGTTAGGCCTGAGCTTATGAGTGGGGGTGCGACATGCATTCCACCACACTCTCCTGCTTCACCGCTGAGGACCTCGGAAGCGGGCTCAGCGGGTGACAGACGATGTTGCCCCTGGCTTCAGCGACGATCAGGCATCTTCCTCCCCAAGGATTAATGCTATTCTAAGAGGATTGAACGAGTGGTTCCGACACGCACAGAACAGACGCCGTATCATGTGGTATTTTTCCACTATTTTACGTCACTCTCTGGCCAAAATGTACGCAGCAAAATTCAAACTTGGAACTAGAGCTCAAGTATCCCAAACAGCTCGGCGGTCGCTGGCTAGGGCGAGCGGCCGTACTTTTTTGTGGTTTCCTGCTGAGTCTGTTTAGTTTGAAATCAAGCTCACTTGGTGAAAATGGTAAACACTTGAAGGTAGTATTTTACTCATGTTAAGTCATGGACTGGTTTCTGTCTCTTGACAACAGTCCCAATACAGGATCTTCTACGCATACAGGTAGGTATCCATCGCAGCTTCCCAGTGAAAAATACTTTCTTTCTTCACCGTGTAGGTCCAAGGCAACTTCACCTTCATCTTTTGCCTGGACTCCTCCGCTTCTCCATCCTTCTCTTTCTTGGGACCCTTTCCCTTCCTGTCCCCATCGTCGCCATCATCTCCTCCATCTCCTCCCCTGCCTCCAATCTTCAACTTCCTTACTACAGCAGGGTCGATCAATTTTTTGGTGAGGGCTTTATCTAATTGGTCAACGTACTCAAATATACGATGGTCAATCTGATCGGAGGCACTGCACAGGAAATTATTGGGAGCATCGTTCATCTGTGGCATCCTGTTTCTCTTTTTGTTCCTGCAGCAGCTTTTGCAACCTCTCCCCCTCCTCTTTCATCCTTTTCTTTTCATTATAATCCAGCCTTTTTGCCGCCAGCATCTTATTATTCATCTCTGCTTTCTTCTCCTCCAACAACAAATTCTTCTCCGCCTCATCCGCTGCTGAAACCAACTTTCTTATAAAAGCATTCTTCTCCTCCTTCTTCTCTTCTGGGAACTTTGTCCGGTAACCAAACTGCTCAATCCAGTTCAGCGCCTCCAGCTGTTATTACGGATTGCCCCTGCCTGACTGCTCTCAGCCTTTTCTTCTTGCGGTTGGGTTCTCCTTCTTTCCAACAGCTCTCCCTCATCTTCTTCTTCTTCTTCTTCTTTAAGTTTTCCATCATCTTCCTCTCCTTCTCCTTTATCTCATTCTCCATCTTTTCTTTTTCTTCTAACAACTTCCTCTTCAATTCCTCTTCTTCTTTTCTGCCAGGCAGCGGTTTATCTCTGCCCGTTCCTCAACTGTGTGTGCCTGTGTGGTTTTTCCAGACCTTAACACCACATGAGAGAAGAGGGTTCTTTGAAACCCAAGAGGAAAGACAAAACGAAGAAGTGGTCCCCATAGCACCGACAGGGACAGGAGTGCGAACATGCGATAATCGTCCGTGGTGATCAAAGGCACAGGTACTTACCCTCCACCTCCTCACCACTTAGACCCACCCCTTTCCACTAACTGCTAACTTCCGACTGGGTCTGTCTGTTGCTGATTGCTGAATACCTCCCCAGAGCGATATATATATATATATATCGTCAATATATATCGTCAAATAGAACTGCCCGGTAAACCGTAGGCAGAGAGGGAGAAGAGGACAACAAACGAGGGGCTGTGACAAACTGTTTCGTCGGAGTTTCACCGACTCATCAGGAGGCTATATATATTGTCACATAACTATGAACTAAAAGAGCGCAATTTGTGAAACAAATGGCAACAATAAAAAATTAAAAAAACAAGACAAACATGAAGGGCACAGTGAAACCATTCATTTTTCTCATTCTTCTTTTGACTCCCCTTTCACCGTGCCTCTAACATACAAGGCTCGCCACGTTGATGAAGTTGAGCGTGAGCTGCCCCCATCCCCGTGTGCCATAACAGCCCACTTGTACGCTGTGAGAAAGAGGCAGAGTGAAGGGTATATCTATATCTATCTATATATCGTCAATATATACCTATCTATCTATCTATATATATATATAGACTTTTCCGGTGTTTTTTTTGTTGCGAACGGACTGGTTGCCAAACTCTAAACAATCAAGTCTGTGACAACTTGAACCAGCCCAGCAGCAGCGACACCAGGGTTAGGAAGGTACCAAACACCAAAACAAATCAGCAAGCAATAGAGGTCTTATGGGGGGATGCACTTCACTTCAGTAAACGTTCTGTTGATGAAGCTCCACAGCCGCTCCAACGCTCCAACGCAGCAGCAGGTACGTACTCACAACTCAAGCCTGAGTGTGTGCGCGAGGGTACAGAGTGTTGCGTGTGGGATATCCAGGGTGATCCTGTGTGCGAGCAGCAGTGTTGAGTGAGGGACGAACACAGAGTTGTTCAGGCGATGTGCCACCATAGCCATGTGAAGTGAACTTGTATCTGAGTGCATTCTTGGTACTATATCTCTGAGTTCTAAGTGGGTGCCTGGCGCCAGTTGCTGCACAACCTGTTCGCATGCTTGTGAAGTGTGAATGAAGTCGAGTCTGATTGCACTGGTATCAGAGCCGGTACCCGCTATCTCACGCGCCATAGGGCGCCATAGCTGGAGCGCGCCATCCTGAAGAGGAAGTCCGCCATAGCTGCGCTGCGGAGGATGGTGACGCATACCTGCAGAGAGGATAACGACGAGAGAGA